TACTCCTCTGACCTCGCCATCCACATCGACCAGGCGCATCTTCTCGCGGTCCGAGAGCGGGCGCGACATCTCGCTCACCTTAGGGAGCAGTGGAGCGCTGCCTCACCCCTCTCTCGGTGAGACGTGCACCACCGACCACTCGCCGCCCGCCTTGGTGATGCGGTCCGGGTGCCCCTCAGGGTAGCCGGCAACCTGCGCGGGCAAAGCCAGAGAGGAGGTGGAGAGAGGGGATGTAGAAAGGGAGGAGGTGGAGAGAGGGAGGAGGTGAGGAGAGGGAGGTGGAGAGAGAGAGGTGGTGGAGAGAGGGAGGAGGTGGAGAGAGGGAGGAGGTGAGGAGAGGGAGGAGGTGAGGAGAGGGAGGTGGAGAGAGTGAGGAGGCCGCTCGGCGATCCCGCTCGGGGCGCTCGGGGTGCAGGCGCGGGGTGCGGGTGCAAGTGCGGGCGGTGAGGGATGATGCGGGTTCGGCGTGAGGGATGATGTGGGGTGCCCGCGCGGCGAGGAGCAGTGCGTTGTGCGTCCGCGGCGGGAGGGGCGCCTGGATGGAGAAGTAGTCGCCGTAGTTGGTGCGCATGTACTTGACAAGGTCGAGCGCGCACGCGAAGCCTCCCTCGGTCACCTCCCACTTGTCCTGCCCCTTGGGTGGGTCACCCCGCAGAGCGACGATGTTGCAGATCCCGGCCTCCTTGGCGCCGGCAAGGCCGGCGTCGCAAACCTCCTTGGACTGGTTGGTGCAGGTCAGGTGCATGTTCACCTGACGCGGACACCTCGCGCTCGGACGGGCGACGGGACAGGAGCGGCAGGAGGGCGCAAGGCGACAGGCGCGGCTGTGGCGGCTCCGCTCACCATGACATTGTGCTTCTGCTGCGAGGTTTTCGAGAGCTCGAGCGTGAGGTCAGCGGACGAGCCGCCCGCGCCCCACGTGAAGTCGACGAAGAGCGGCTTCTGCTTGCACATCTCGTCGATCACCTTGTGCAGCTTCACGACGCCCTCGGGCGTCTTTGGCGGAAAGTACTCGAACGAGATGAACGGCTGGTCAGTGGCGGCGGTCCAGGCGTTGACCATGTCGATGATTTTGCCGTTCTTGACGGCCGGCAGCTGGCCGCGGCAGTCGGTCGGGTTGCCTGCAGTGTCGGTCGAGCTCATGGCGTTCGAGGCGTGCAGCGAAGCGTCTTCTCGCTTCCAAGTCTAAAAAAAGTCCAGCGCGCGGTGGGCGTGCAGCGAGAATCGGCGAGGGACTGCGAAGGGAGATAGAAAGAGGCAGACGACCAAGGGTTAGGGTAGGCGATGGCTAGCACCACACTCCTCTCCTTAAAATCCCTGTGTGGTGGCGGCGTGCCGTCCTCCCATCCCTCCCTCGGGTTGTCTGTCTTCTTTCTTTCTTTTTCGATGCCAATCGTCCGGCGTGAGGGTGGGGGACGGCTAGCACCACACTTCTCCCCTTGAAATCCCTGTGTGGTGGCGGCGTGCCGTCCTCACATCCCTCCCTTCGTTGCCTGTTTTCTTTCTTTTTCATCCGGCGTGCTCTCCCTTTTTCTTTTCGTCCGGCGAAGTGGGTGCGCTTAGCTCCCCGACTCTGGGCGTGCGGTTGATGATAACTGCACTCCAAGTGCTACAAGTGCGCAGGTGCTCCAACAGTTCCAAGAATTGCCAATCGGACTCCAAGTGCTCCAAGTAAGTGCTCCAACCAAGCAAGTGCTCCGAAAAAAAGGAGACCCTGTCCTATGCAAGGACACACAGGACGCACCTCTACGAAGCCCACAGAGTCTGTGGGAGACTCCTGCCACCGCCCCTGCCACCCTCGGCGTGTGCCTCGGCCGCCCCTTGTCACAGTGTGCCTGTGGCAGTGAGAGACATACTGCCAGTGAGAAGCTGGATGGATGGAGGCAGGTCGCTAGACTGAGATGAGACCACCAGTGGAGTTGGGAGTCCACCGCGCTGCGAGCTGTCGCTGTCTTTCAAAACCCCCTGTGCCCCTGATCGTCCTTCCAAAATCCTGCTCGTGCAGGTGGGGACCCTGTCCTCCTCCCATCCCTCGTTTGGGTTGTCTGTTCTTTCTTTCTTTGTCCTCGCAGGAGCCGCTTAGGCGGCTCGCGCCAGTCCCGTGCCCAATGTTGTGCGAGGGAGTTTTGGCGTAAAACTCTTTCTTTCATGCAAGAGGAACCCCTGGGACCCTGAATCCTGCCCAGCCCCCCTCCGTGTCGCGATGCGCTCCCCGCTCCCGTTCCCCTGTGAGCCTGTGTCCCTGATCGTCCTTCCAAGATCCTGTGGACCAAACCTCCCTCTGCGGCCGCGTGTCCGGAGATATGCGCTACATGCACAACATGCGCAACATGACAACATGACATGTGCATGTGCATGTGCATGTGCATGTGCATGCATCCAGCCGCGCCCGACCGGGATCTCATACCTGCGCCATCCCGCATCCGGCACATCACAGACATGCCAAGTGCCAAGTTGTCCACTGGGGCTGGCGAGCGGCTGATGTGTGATGATGCGCGAACATCTCTCTACTATCTCATGACTCACGTTGCTCTTGCTGGGACCCCAGCCAAGAGCGGAGCATCAGGTGAGCGCAGGAGGAGGATGGCCCTTCGGGTCGGCTTTGAATACGTGTCAGGTTTTAGATACCACACGGTCCCACACGATCGAAGAAAGAGGATCGACCTCTCCCACCGAGGGCACCATGAAGTACAGCGATCGCCAACTCGCTGGTCTCTCCGCAAGTCCTCCCGACCGCGTCGAATGGCGCGGACTCTCTCGGCTACGGGGGTTGCAGAGCGGAGTCTTGTTAGGCAAACGCTGCTCTGTGTTGTGTAGAGTGGGATTTAAGCTTGAAGAACGCTGCTCTAGCACCCGCGAGCGGGGTTGCTGAGATAGAACACGGCTCTGAGATGCGAGAGTGGCGTTGCGCGTTTTGCTTTTGGCCCTCAGCCTACACTGGCCTACAGGCGCACCGCAGAGCGCAGCGCTCCCCGAGCACGCCCGCCCTCGCGCCGCCACCGCCGCCGCCGCCGCGCCTGAGTGTAGTCCGTGAGGCCAAGAGCGACGTGCTCGACCTGCTCCGGGAGGGGGGGCGGCGTGAGGGACCGGACCGAGGGCCGCCTCTGTCCGAGGGCGGCAGAGGCCTCTGTCCCAGGGCGGCAGAGGCGGGAGCGCGCCAGGCGTGTGGAGGGGGGGGGGGGGGGGCAGTGTGTGGAGCAGCCGAGGGCGGAGCAGTGTGAACAGACGCCGTCCCTCCAAGTCGACTCCGCTGTCGTGGGGAGGGCGGAGCAGTGTGAACAGACGCCGTCCCTCCAAGTCGACTCCGCTGTGTGGGGAGTCGGAGCAGTGTGAACAGACGCCGTCCCTCCAAGTCGACTCCGCTGTGTGGGGAGTCGGAGCAGTGTGAACAGACGCCGTCCCTCCAAGTCGATCCGCCCGCTCTTCGTGGTGAGCCAAAAATGGAGTTTTGTGTGAACAGACCGTTCCTCCAAGTCGACTCCGCTGGCGTATACGGAGAGTCACGGAATCGCGCGCCTCCACCAGGAAGGGCTACGCAGTATCCCAGACATCCCAACGCGCAGTGGAGGAGGAGCGAGGGCAGGTAACCGGCCGGTCAGCAGATGGCTACGCCGGAGATCTTTAAGAAGGAAACCGGA